GTGTCTCGTTCTCCGAGTCGGAGCTCTCAGCAGACGATTGATTTGATTTATTATTCTCGTCGTCCGACTTGTCTTCAGCGGCGCTCTCATTATCAGAATCTTTGGCCACTTCTTGAGCGCCATTACCCCTCTCGTCGTCCGAGTCTTTATCGCTATTCTCTCCGGGTTTGTCTTCATTCGCCTCATCGGCCTCTCTGTCCACTTCCATGCCTTCCTCTTTGTCCTCTTCCTCCTCATCGGACGACTTGTTGACCGGCGCGGGACTCCTCTCCACCTCTGAGTCCGATTCGATTCGCGCTCTTTTAGTCTTAGTTTTGTTGTCTGAATCCGAGTCGGAACTGCTGTCTCCAGAACTCTTCGCAACTAATTTATATGCAAATCAGACATCAAATTATCATTTAATACACGATTATCATTAGAATTGCACTCAAATTCCTATACCTTTCTGTTGCGCCTCTTCCTCGTCGTCAGAATCGGCTAAAAACCTCTTCTTATTTGACTTCTTGTTGTCCTTTTGTTTCTTCGCCTCAACCGGTGAATCAGAATCTGAAGAATCGCTAACTTTTTTGGCTTTCGATTTGGTCGCAGATCTCTTCCTCTTTTCTCCCCTTTTCTTAGCGTCAGAATCGCTGTCAGAGGCGTCCGAAGAGGACTTCTCGGATGCGGAAGATTTAGACGACTTCTCAGACGAGGAAGACTTCTGACGGCTTTCGTCTAAAAATAAAAAATAAATTCATTACTCAGTGAACATTCACATAATGATCGTAAGCATCGGTATGTCGTATATGTCGCACCCTTTTCCTCATCACTCTTGGGTTCGTCGATCTCCAGTTTGCGGGGTTTGTCTTCATCCGAATCGGAACTGCTGTCGGAATCGATGTATTCCTTGGACTTGAACTTTCCGGGCTTAGACTTGACGGCCTGGTCTGCGGTCTGGTGGATGTGCACCCGACCCTTGTTCTCCTTACTCTTCTTCTGCTTGTCTTTACGCAGTCGTCTCTCCTCTTCCCGTCGTTTCCTTCTCTCCTCATTCCTCTCCTTCACCTCTGCATCAG